TATCAACAAAACTTAATAAATATGCATTAACAGAATTCACAAAAACTCGATAAATCTGAAGAGCTCATCACACCGAGTCGAGTCTTATTGTAAAAGTTCTAATTATTCTGTCGATGTTACTCATCCAATTCACATTTTTTTAGCTGCTTCAAACTGGTCGACAACATTTATATTTAAAACATAACATAAATCACATATAATAACAATTAAATAATTATAATTACTAACAAAAATATTAATATTTTACAATTTTTTTTCCATTTCGATATAATAATAAAAAATTCATCTTATAAAAGTTTTTATATCAAAAGGTAAAACCAATAAATATTGTTTTAAATGTTGTAATATTCTATTATTTACTATTTTTGTGATATTATAAACAATCAAATAATTTAAAATATATTTACAAATAATTAAGGTTTAAGTTGTTTTATTATAATCAAATAAATTAATTGAATTTTTCCACTTGGATTTTATGCATTTCAAATTAAAACGCCATGTGTTTCGCTAATAAAATTTGAAATTTTCTAGTGATGTTTTTATATATATGACATTTAAAATATCATTACTAAAATATAATTAATTTGAATTAAAATTACAATGATTTTTTAAAGCAAACAATACTGAATCAAAGACTTTTAAAAATGAACTGAAATAGATATGTTTTTGATTCTTTTTCTTTTTAAATTATTTGTAAAAAGTATCCATATTGATACTATAACTGTTCACTAAACATAAAACTGCTCTACAGATGAAAGTTTAGTCACTCCATCAACAAACATTGACAAATATTTTAAATGTGTTTAATGTGGGACTTTCCATTTTTTTCAGTTGATGGAGAGTTGATTTCGACTTTAGTTATCGACAATGTCAACACGTTTTCTCTTGACATCGAAAATTCTGATATCCCATTGCTTTTGATTTTAAACACAAACATCTCCGACTTTGTTTTTGAACACAACACGAAGTCGACTTTCAAGTTGAACAATTCGACATTTGAAAAAAATTATTTAAAGGAAAACTACGAATACAAAATTACACTTTCTACCTTTCAAATCAACAGCTTATAAGCACAACAAATACACGTTGACGAATATAGAATCAGTGTTTTTATTAATATAATTGGGACGTTGAAGAACTACAATTTAACGATGTAGGATACATACACACTCTCTATGTACAATGGCACAATTGACTATCTCAATATCGACAAGTTCATTGCCAATGACGTCATAATCGAAGATGTGTGGTGTTGATATTTTACAATGGAAAACGCTGTGTTAGACCACTTTAAATTGGTTGATACGTACTTTGACATACACAATATGGACAATTTGATTTTCTCAAATTTTGATATGCAAAATACGGAATTGAACATTCGAAAGGTCGAGAATGTCACCTTTGAAAATTCAAAATTTGTCGACGCGAGAATTTACACCGAAGTCAAAGACAACGAACACATCGACTTATTTAATGTTTACTTCACTCATACATACATCAACGACAAGTATTATTATACAGCTCATGGATACTTTTACATTGATGCTGATAATAAAGTCATATATGGTAAATATAACACAAATGAAGCGATGAGCGCATATTTTGTCACCCGTGTTGTTATTTGTTGCATTTATGCAGCATCGGTGTATTATAAACACGTTATGATAAATATGTAATATATTTACAATAATATTCCAAAACAATTAATATTTATTTTTAGTCCTTTAAAAATATTTATAGTCAGCATAATCCAAAATTATATGAATTTGTTTAAAGTAACAAATTTCGAATATTCAATAATTTGTCTTCATATTTGTAACTTAAAAAGATGTTTAAAAATAATTATAACAAATAATATTTTAAACTATATTTGTGAATATTTTTACCTAATTGTTACAATTGAAAATTCGATAAATTTTATGCCATATTTTCAACTTAAAATCTACTAATCAATAAAATAACTTATTGTAATACATTTAAATTTAAAATTTCAAGATGAATTACACACATAATTATGTATTAGAGTTGAAATTAAGAGAAAGGACGGACATGGGGACGAAGGACGGGAATATAGGCCGAAGGACTTCCTTTGTGGTTTAAGGACGTCCTCCCGCTATAAAGGACGTCCTCCTGTGTATATGGTGTTTTTTCTATTATTTTCGTGTCCGCGGTATTTTGGGTTTGCTGTTTTTCACCGGCACCAGTGTACCTTTATTCAAATAACATTTTATAAAAACATTTTTGTTTTACATTTTTTTACTATATTTATTTTAAAAATTCAAACAAACCCTTTAAGCAATTTTGAATAATTTTATAATCAACCTAACTATGATAATCAATAAAAAAATGGAATTTAGAGGTATGATCATTGATCACATTTTAAATTTCAGTGAAAAAGAAGATGAAGACAACAAGAAAACGCCACTGAATATCATTGAACAGATGAAAGAGAATTTTTCAGTCTATACGTTCGAAAAACAAGCTGAAAACATGAAAAAGCTTCAGTGCTAACAATTGAAGGTGGTCAATTCTCACTGTTTGTGACTTCAAATAGTCATTCAAATTGCAGAAATCAGACATTTAAATGTGTGTACATAAATTGTCCATGCAAATTTGTACTCACACTTTCAATTGTAAAAACAGAAGTTGAAAAAATAACTTTTCATCATTTACACACTCACAACTTTATTCACCTCCCGGAAAAAGTCAAGCCATTTTTCACTGAAGAAATTCTCGCTCAAATGAGAAGTCGTCTCAAATTGGGAGTTACTCCAGATAATATCAAA